ATATATATATATATATATATATATATACACTACACACACCACGGTTTTGGAATAAATGCCTTACACAATTATCAAAACTCATATCTATCGTCTGGTGAAGACAAGCAAATCTTAAGCTATCATTTTTTTATTTTGCGTTTGTTTTTTTTTTCTGGTTCTGCAATAATTTTAAAGCTATCATTTATAAAAGAGAAATTATTATTAAATACAAATAATTAGTTTATATATTTGGCTAGGTTATTATCGCGGATGGATGTGGGCAATTTTGACGGGGTGGCTGAAACTACACGGGACTATGACGGAATGTGAGCCAAATACCATTTAAAAAAACCTGTCATAACTTTTTTTTTTCTCGTAACAGAAATGTTTTAAAATTTCTATTCAAACCAATTTTCCCCAATTCATTTACAAATTACGGTTCTTCTTCTCTCTCGTGCCTTTTCCTTTCAGGACATTGGCGAACATCGACCTACACAAAACCAGATCTTTAACACTTTGTAGTAGTTGAAATGTGGTGATATTCACGAGTGACAAAAGGACTTCACGAATGTTATTCATTGTTGACCGCGATCTTAAACTTTACGTACACACTGATAACTAGGAAGACTACGGCCCTCCGGTTATAAGCTCTGGAAAGTCCACGGCTTTCCCAGCCACCCCTTAAATCCGCCACTGGCTACAATACTGTTATTGATTTGTTAATGCTATTGATTTGATTTTATTATTAACAGATAAAAAATTTTAATTAAAGAAACAATTTTAATCTGTTGTCAATTTCAAGGAATCTTTAGTGGCCTATTGATAACGCTTACGTAATATTAAGTTATTAATTGAATAGAATTGAAACTTTTATTCAGCAAAAAAAAGTTAATTATTGATAATTAATTAACCAATTATTCAATAGTTAATCAATTAACTAGCTAGTAATAATTTAAAAATTTTAACGTCTTATCAAAATGCACTATACGGATACGGCATAGCTACCAAATCACAAGTGTAAGTGTATGAAAATGAACAACTTAGACAACCAAGTGAATTGATGAATTCTTATAAAAGTATATGAATTACAACACTTTTGTTGAAGTATTTTAGTACTCATTGAACTCATATGATTGGTCGTAAATTTACTACTGCTACTACAATCAAGATTAACATTAGATTGCTAATTCTATAAATAAGTAATACGGCTAAATACGATGAATATTGTTGTTGTTTTTCTTTTTCTTCTTCTTCATCTTCTTATTATTATCATTATTAGTAGTAGCAACAGTAGTAGTAGCAGCAGCAGTAATAGCAGTAGTGGTGGAAGTAGTAGTAGGAGTAGTAGTAGTAGTAGTAAGAGTAGTCGTCGTCGTCGTAGTAGATGTAGAAGTAGTAATAGCAGAAGTTGTAGTAGTAGTAGTAGTAATAGTAGTAGTAGTATAGCAGTAGTAGTAGTAGTAGCATTAATAATATTATTGTTATTGTAGTTACTTAATAGTAGCAAATATCATTAATCCTTTAAAAGCGTTTGTTAAAACCGTTTTTGACAGTATTTGAATATTTCGTCAACCATGGTGGTGCTGTTCTTCTTCTTCTTCTTCTTCTTCTTCCTCTTCTTCTTCTTCTTCTTCTTCCTCTTCTTCTTCTTCTTCTTCTTCTTCTTCTTCTTCTTCTTCTTCTTCTTTTTCTTCTTTTTCTTTTTCTTCTTCTTCTTATTATTATTATTATTATTAATGTCATTTATTTACATTAATGTTTGGTGCAATTTTTATAAATATTAAACCTCATCGTTCATTCATCTTTCATTTTATAATAATAATAAGTATAATAATAATAATAATTAAAATTATTATTATATAATAGTTATTATTATTACAGCAGCAACAACATCAAAAAAATTCAGGATGTCGCCTCCAACAACAACAGCAACAACATCAATTCTTATCACTCTCATCACATTAACAACAATTATCGTACTAAACGATTGTACTAACTCCGATCTACAACAACAATCCCAGACACAACAACAACAACAACACAACCAATATCAACAGTACAACAACAACAATAATAATCTACATTCACTACAACATCAAAAACTTCAACATCATCACCAACAGCAACAACAACAGCAGCAGCAGTCCAAATCTAAACAACGACACCACAAAAACAACAACAAAAACAGACCACTGAGAGCCAGGGACGTGTCAACGACATCTACAACATCCAACAACAACAACAACAACAACTTAGCAACGTACGGACAAGATGGCTTCTGCGAGTTGGAGCTTGTCTGCAAATCAAACAACAACCTCATCAACAACTTGCACACACACAGCAATAACAACCCAAATTCGAACCCAACATCATCAGGCGAGGCCCATACGGCGCACATCCCCGTTAAGTTGCCCATAAGGGGCCCAAAAGGGCCCCCCGGACCCCCCGGAGAAAGAGGTGCCGATGGAATGCCCGGATTCCCTGGTTAGTCCATGTTGTATTGATAGTTTGATATGTTTTT